TAGCAGTGAGATGTTTGAATATATCTTTTTCTAGAAAACGAAAACTATCATTCCAATCCGTTTTGGACGGACAGTAAAGAAATTTCGTCAGCAATTCGTTGCTATCATATCTCGATTTTTGAAATGATGACTTCAGCGCCATTTAAAAACAAAGGGTTTTGTTTGACTTCAATTAAACAGAAAATCTGAGTATTTATCACTATCGAACGAGAAATGAATCAGGTTTCTGAAAACGATCCTAATTTACAGGCTCAAGTACTCTCTCTCCTACAAGCCGATTTCCGATACAAAATCAGTGAGAAAAATGTGTCTTTCCATTAATTTTTGTCAATCATCAATATTGATTACTTACGTCTCATTGAATTAGATTGTGATGCATTATTCGAAGTGACTGAGTGCTCTGATCCACTACTATTGTCATTCATTGCTGATTCGATTGAGTTATGATCGAATGAATAGTTAATATTGAAAGTTTCTCGAACTTTTGACGGTGTGTGTGAATATAGAATAAAAGAAGAGGGTTTGTGGGTCAGACTAACCTGTTGAATCACATCCACCCATACCCATAACCATCTCTCCATGTTAACTTACAAAATCTTTTTTTTATAATTTAATCGTTGATTCATTCAATGGATTGCGATAAAGCAAGTATCAATCATTTATTAACAATGAAAAAATGAGGTAGACAATAAAAACTCTTATTACAAAAAAAAATAAATTAGATGGACCTACTGCTCATATTCATCAACAATAACTGAGTATGAAAAAAGAATGAACAACATGATGGAAACCCTATGATCCAATTAATAAACCTGATGGAGAAATAACAAAATTACTTATTCAAAAGTAAAATAATTTTTTTTATTTAATTTTTAAGAAAATTATTCCTTTGAGTTAAAAACCAAATACAAACTATCATTTTTGATTAGCATCATAAAATGATCTATGAGTATAATTGATTCTAGTGGTTCGACGAATTATATTCGAACAAAAAAAAAGAGGTATAAGAATAACAAAAAAAAGGATCGAGAACAATTTTCAGTATAACACCAACGGAATAACGTACAATGGATATTTGGTGAAAAATATCAAACAGATCTTTTTCAAGTTTAGTATAAAGAAGGTCAAATTGTAGCGAATAGTGTTCGCTTTGAAAAAATAATCATTCTTTTTTATGTTAGGTGTGTTTGAAAGGCGACCGTCATTTTTTTCATTAACCTGATGTCGAGAAAACTTTCAGAGAATGTTTTTCGCGCTTTCTTTACTACAGAAGTACTTTGGCGGGAAAATAAAGAAATATTTGGAATTAGTATGCAAACCTGCATCCATTGATGCATCATTTATCAATTTCTAAAATAAAATTTTTTCTTCGGAGTTTAGAGTACGGGTTCACCTTAGGAATTTTCTTTTCCAAATAATCTTGTCTTTCAGGGTATGGGTATGCGGTGTGGGCGGGTCCGGATGTGGATGCGGGTCTGTTTGGGTGTCAGCGTTCCTGTGCGGTGTGTGTGTGGGAGTGTGAGAGTGGATGTCAGTGTAGTAATGTGGAAGTCAGTGTACCCATGGGGTGTGGATGTGGGTGGGGGTGTGGTTGTAGGATTTTCAACCGGAGAACCACATCCACACCCTTTTTGCAAACATGTTGATTAATCGTTATCATTGACTGAATTGTCTTTGTTTCAAATAATAATAGAATTGACCTTCAGCAAATTTCTTTTACTAGACAATGAAAATGTCAAATGATGATCGGACTATTTCATATAATTTAAATGAGTCAAAACAGATGACAATGAATAATCAATGTTTCAGGGTCCTCTTGTCGATGTTCCCGATCATAAATCAAATTCATTGCGGGTCTTCATCAGTTCTACTTTTACAGGTAAATTTTCTTTTAATCAACCAATGACTGTACCATGTGCGTTTACACTTGAAGATACAGTCGAAGAACGTGATGCACTTATTTTATCAGTTTATCAAAAACTCCGAGAATATTGCCAAAAGATGTATAACATTCAGTTTCAGGGTGACTATATTGTTGCTACTTGTATTGGTTACTGATTCGACTGTGGACACATGTTTGCAAGAGTTGCAACAATTTTATCGTCATTCGCTAGCGACCAATTGTGCTGTGAGTTCCTTCAAATTGACTGACGACCGAGTTTTAAAAAATGATTCGATTTCTTTTAGATTCTGTTAATTCATTGATATGAAAGTAGGATGCTATCCGTACGAATTGTCAAAAACATTTTTCAAACACTTGAAAGCGTTTTGTCTTCAGACAAAAGACTTTTTGTAAATCAAACATATCGACTAGATGAAAATTTACTCGATCCTGTCTATGTTCTCCAGTCCATCGATTCCAAGAGAAAAAATGAATGGGATTCATCCAATAAGAAACTCCAGAAGATCTTGCGTCAAGCCTCTGATACAAGACTTTAAGTGAATATGACAGAAATGAATTTCACATATCAGGTGAGTTGATCAAAGTTCGTCATCCGATATGCATATCAAAATGTTTAGTAACAGCGAAATAAATTTATCGAGCATTGAACAACAATAAAAATCAACTGCAACACATAGTTGCTTTCTTTCGCGAAATAGATGATATAGACCATTTTGACTCGAAACTCAAAGTGAAGTTTAGCGATACAAATGATGAACATAGTGAATTACTGCTAATAAACTTGAAGGCTTTTGTCGAAACTGAACTTGGTTCGAATAATATGGTCACATATCGAGTTTGTTCAAAGAAGTTTTCGAACTACTGAGATACATAATATTACTTTTTAGGTTAAATTGAACAGATAAATTAAGTAGAATGAAATATCTGGCTGATTTTAAAGACGATTTCTATACTGCTATAAAGAATCAAGTCGATTATCACATGAAGCAAACTCGACCAACAGACATTTTGTAGGACGAAGTTTTGGAACGTGAAATTCAGTGCAGAATGCTTAATGAACGATATTTTCCACGTGATAATATATTTGTGCAGGTGAACATTGATAATCCATAGAGCAGATCTCATCGTCACATTTTATAGATCAACAATTTTTTACTGTCGAATGAATCACGACCATACACAATGTATGGTGAATCAGACAAGGAAAATCTTCTATTATTGCTGAAGTGGCAAGCAAGGTGATTTTAGTATTATATTAATAAAACCTTACATCTACTTTACTTGTAAGGCTTCAACGTGATTTCCTAAGTCAAACTTCGTCTCTATCATATTACGTTTTCTTAGTACAACACCATTATCAAGTGACATTCGTCAACCACTAATCTCGATGATGAAACAAATCTGTGCTATCTATGATATCCGACTTTCTTCTATCAGTGAATCAATAAAAATTGAGGAGTTAAAGAAAATATTTGAACAAATTTTGACTCAAATTCCGACAGATGAAACCCTCGTTCTTCTCTTTGATTCAATCAATCAACTACGATTTGAAAACTACGACTGCTCAAAATGATTACTGGCCAACTATTCACAGAATCTCAAATGCATTGTATCTATAATACCGATGATTTCTGAGGAAAAAAAAAGATCCTCCAGAAAAATACGAAATTCTTCATGGATTACAGTCACTTCTTGGCGATGCTTCAATGATTGAAATAACCGTATTCCATGAAGATTTTGCTAAGGAAGTATTTCAGCCATGGTTAAAACGCGATCGTCGATGTCTTACTTCGCTTCAAATGAGTTGGTTACAGTCAAAACTTCAATCTCATACTGTTTATACTGAATATAACAGAAGCCAATGATGGCATAGACTATTTATATTCTCAATTATCGAAGAAGCACAACGAAGTGTTTTTTAAACGAGCGATGGTTTATCTTCAACAAGGAGGAGGTCTCACTGCAATCGAACTGGAAGATATGCTGAGTGCCGACAATCAAGTTCTTCAAGCCATATTTGTCCACTATCTTTCACCAGTTAACATTTTTCGAATACCGAGTACGCTATGGATTCGTATGCGCAATGATATGCAAAACAACCTCGTGGAAAAATATGTCGATAATACGCCCATAATCTATTTATTGGTACATTTTATTTAGTGGATTTCAATCTAAAATAGTCACTTGCCTAATCAATTAGAATTGCTAACGATTTTATTCCAAACTAAATACTTACATAGCTCAAGCAATGTGAACACTTTTCTTTTTTTGACCAAATCGAATCCAAAAATTGAGACAATTTTGCATAAACAACTATTACTATTTCGAAAATGATAGAAGTATATGACAGCGATTTTTGGACGTTTCTTCATCTTTATTATTACTAACTCAGTCAATATATGTTTCATACTGACATTGATTTTCAGATCCTTTGTTTCAATATGAATACAATTAATTCTAGATTTTCGATGTAATTGATTGCACCAATCTTGAAATAAATGTAATGTTTTTTTTTTAAATATCCGTTATGGATAACTGCTGTAGATATTGAAAAAAAATAGCAACGGAATTTGAATTGCTTAAAAAGAGTGTTGAATTGAACAAAGTAGATCAAAATTGAGATTATATCGGATAGAAAAAAAATTTAGAAAATCGAAAATACTAGTTCTCCTAAGGGTATCATGATTGATTAAGATCCGATTAAACTCATTTTATCATTTAACTATCATCGCAATTTTTATGAATATAAAATATTAAATGATGAAGAAATCAAGACAATTGAGCTTGTTCGACGTGCTTACTTTGCCGACAATATTCTGGGTTTTCCCAATTTTCATACTCAATCATTTGAAATTAAATCTCGAAAGTTAATAGAAAAAAGTCATGGAATTTCTTCGATTCTTGTTAATCGACATCTCACACAAAATCGAAAATTCAATATCATACGAATCAATTAATTGTGCAGAAATATCGACAACTATTTGGATGAACCTTGTTTTTTTCTGCGACTATGAATTCATGTCGAGTTATTTTCAATGTTACAAAATGAGTGATCGATTATCATCTAAAAGTTCATTTGTCCAACTTCGATTTCTTCTTACACAATATCAAATANTGTACGAATGAAATTTCCATAAATAGGTAATCGATAAAGAGTTCCAACTAAAGTAAATATCTCATCAGTTTTAACGACATCTTTATAATTTGTTGGATCTTTTTCATTTTTGATTGTTTCTTTAAATAAATTAATTTCTTCTTTATACTCTTCCATGAGATGTTCAAGTCCTTGAATAACTTCATTATTTTGATCACCACAAGCTTTTCTCATTTGTTCTTGTTTTATGCAAAGCCTAAAATATTCTATAATATCATCATGTAGTGGAAGAATGGCATTTGCATGAAGATATTTTGCAAGTTTTTTATAAACTTCTTCTATTTTAATTTTTTCTTCTTTTAAGTTTTTAATTTGTGTTGCGATATCGGATGCTGACGATGCTTCCTTAAGATAACGAATATCGGTTTTCACTTCATATGTTATATGTTGATGATCATTCCATAAACAACCACATTTTGAACATATACCTACAAGACAAGATAGAAATTGTTTAATTAACTATTTTATTAAGTTTTTAAATACGAAATCTACAATCAATTCAAATAATTTATTTTAAATAATAAAATGAGCAAAAAAACGTATTTTTCTGTTTGATAAATGCATTGAATTGATTTATTGATGTTAAAATATTTTACCTGTTTCATAATGCATAATTTCACAATCCGCCATCCTCTCATCATTATAGCTTTCTTGTGTGACACCTGTCAAATAGCATATTTCGTGATATTTCGATAGTGGTTCGATTTTGATCTCATTATTCACAATAACAGTTCGACAACACTTTCTATTCGTACAAATTGTTGTCGGATATCTCAAATGATCAGATGTCGCATTCTTTTGTGGTAGACCTTGATGGGCTAATTCAGGATTTTCACTGATATCTTTTGCATATTCTTTAGCCAGTTGAAGATTTTGTTCGATAAGTCTAGTTGTTTCAACGATTGGACGTGTTAATTTTCTAATTAATTGTTCAGCTTCATTAAGTGAAAGTATATTACAGACAGCATGAAGTGGACATGTTACAATAAAAGCCATAAGTCTTGAATATTGCTCAACAGTATGATCCCAACTCTTTTGATAACTTAATTTTTATTCTTGATTTAATTGAATTTCATGTTGATGTAAAGCTAAATACCGAAATGCTTCGTTATCTAATAGAAAAGTATTGTTTATTGAAAGAAGAACTTCAATTTTTTTTTCTTGTTTATGTTCATCTAAAAGTGCTCGAAGGATTTTCGATGTTGAACCAGGTTTAAAAAAGGTTGAACGAGAATTTGTAAAAACAAAAATAATATTTTCCGATGCACTTGTATGTAAATGTCGAAGAAGTTCATTGACACAAAATTTGAAAGTATTGTTAAACGTTCTTCATTTGGTTTAAGTAATATACAAACTCCATTTAAATGTTCATATTGGGAAATATAAGTTAAAATTTCATGAAAATTCTTTGTATCTTGTTCAAGACCTCTAGTATCTCTAATTCCTGGTGTATCAATTATTCGTAAATTCTTTTCTCCAATAGGAAAAAGAAAACTTCGACATTGTTGTGTACATGAATGATCATTTTCATCGAAATTTTCATGTTCATTTCTTTCTCCGATGCGAATGGTTATTTCTTCAAAAGTATCATCGTCGATATAAGTGAATGCTGATGGAATAACAAATTGCATTTGATCCCTGATTGCATCTTCTACTGTATCATTACATAAATAATTTACTAAACCATTAATGAGCGTTGATTTTCCGACACCTGTTTGTCCCAATAATAAAATATTGATATCAGTCGACGGATCATTGTTTCTACAAGTTTGTATTGCATGTCGTTCCTTTCTTTCTGCCATAGTATTCACTTTGTATTTAATAGAAAAACTTGTTTAATTTTTGAAAAATTTGTTTGAAATAAAGATAGATGGATCGAAGAAGATTTGCCGATCAAAGAAATATTCTTTTAGGAAAAAAAATCTACCGAAAGAGAAATGCGCTAACGAAAATTTGTGTCACTTTTCATCACGAAAAGCCTTTCATGTTGATTTAAATTCGGAATGGTTACTTCTATTGAGGCAAAAAAAAAATAGAACGAATCTTTAGTTGAACATTTGGTTATTCTTATCGTATCGAGTGATGTGCAAAATTCGTAAATGAAAAGATCTTCTCGTTTATAANTGATAAAACGGGAAATTGGTAATAGAAATTTCGAACACAGAATTTGGACAATATTGTCGAACCTTCAGCACTGTGTAAATTCTTTCGGCATTTCGGAAATAATAAATTTCACGTGATATTTGATTGTTGGAAATCCAGACAGTAAAATATCACATGAAATTTGTTATTGTCGCAATCCCGCAAGAATTTAGATAGTGCTGGAAGTTCAGCAATATTGTCCAAATTCTGTTTTCCGAATTCCGATTGCCGATTTCCACAGAATCACAAGTTCCAATATCACATTTTTTCTGCCCGTGATGGTTGTGTCCACTGGAATATGTCTCACGAATGACACTGTTAGATAGTGAGAATAGTTTTCTCTAAAAATCAATAAGCATAGTTTTTTTTCGTGATTGATCGTGATCGCGAATAAAAAATGTTAGCCATGCAGAACGCTAATTACGAGGATTCTCTGATAAGCATAACGATATCAGGGCATTTCAGCTATAGCAGTAGCAAAGGACATGGTAAAGACTGTCAGGAAATAAGCATCTCTTACTCATTATCGCTTGTATTTCAACTGTTCCTTGGTTTTTTTCAGAAAGATTACCAAGTTGGATCATCCATGAAAATCAACATAAGGTTGACTGAAATCACCGAATTACAATTTTACGATAAGGAGTTCAAAATTCACGATACGCGAAAGTGATGTGATTATTAGAAGGTATCACACAATTTAATTCTGATATCAGATAATTGTGCCAACAACGAAACTGTAACCACGTTTTCACTTAGTTGACAAGTAGAAGAAGTTTCAGATACATACCAATCAGAATAATTAATCATAAAAACATGACTAGATTTGGTGTCGAAAATCATGGGCAATTACAGCTTCTAGAAATCATGGAATTCATACTGTTTCTCAAGTTTTAGAAAATTCTCTACAACGATAATACGAAGAAGTACGACGTAGGATGGCAAGCATGAAGCCTATAAATAATCTGACTCTCGCAGTTCACATGAGTATTTCAGAAATGTGACTTTTCAGGCTCCGATCATTCATTGTTCCAAGTGAATTTTTTCTCGTAGAGAAAGTGTGTACACTGGTGCATCTTCTTATTCTAGAAAGGTGGCAGGCTAAGAAATAAGTGTGCATATTAACAGGCAATAAGATTCTTATCATCAATTTTTCTTTCATACCATTCAGTTTTCATATGGTTTTTGAGTATGTTTCGAAAGTCGACCGCTAGTTCTGGACTTTCCTTCGACCTAATAGTCATATGGAGAAAGTTCATTCTTCATTTTTTCTTCATAGTCTGTAACTGAAATTACTGCGATTGCCTACAACCACGTACATTAATCAATATGGCTACCCGATTCAACAATGAGAATAGTCGTACGTCGTTCCCAATGTATTTTGGTCGGCAAACGAAATTCGGTGATGCTGCTTCTACACCATTGAAAATGATAAAATTGTACGTCGAACAACAAGTGAATGCAATATTTCCGTTGATGCATCAAGTGGCAACAACAATGACATTTCGAAATGATCACAATCAAGTATTAGAAGGAGCTTTGGAATTTACTCTACCTGAAACAGCAACCATATGTGGATTCGGTGAGTACCTTTCAAAAAGTGACGAGTCAATTTATTATATGAAAAACTGAAATGTACCGATATTTCTTTCATAGGTCTTGATGTTGACGGTGTCATTGTTGATGGTGTTGTCGTTGAAAAACAAAAAGCGCGTATTACATTTGAAAAAGAAGTTCGAAAAGGTGTTGATCCTGGTCTAGTCGAAATCGTTCAAGGAAATGTATTTCGTACAAGAGTCTATCCAATGCCAGCAGGAGGCACACGAACCGTACGTGTCATTTATCAAGATCAAGCACAAATCGAAAATGATCGTTTTTTATTCAATATTCCAGTTTACTTTAATACTACTCTCGAAAAATTGGATATTTCATTGATTTGTCTCCACTCACCAAATGATTGTCAACCAGAATTTATTTCTAATGTTCAATTTCAACAATCTTTTGTGAATTCAAATGGAAAATACTGTTCGGAAATTCATCAAGTCAATGTAGAACCAATGCAAGATGATCAGTCTATCACGTATATGATTAAAAATCTAACATCTGAACGACCTATTCCAAGTGTAGAAATCGATCCCGATGATCGTAGTCAAGCGTATTTTGCTCTATGTTATATTCCACCAATACCAAAATCTAATAATATGGTACTCAATAGTCGAAAGACAATGTGGATTTGTATAGTTTGGGATGCAAGTTTAAGTCGAGTTAATGTTGAAAATCGCAATCATGAAATTAATATACTCAAGATGATATTAAACACTTGGCTATTGAATGGTGCTGATATTAAATTAACTGTGGTTGTTTTTCGAAATGTACTTGAAGAACCATGTTCGTTCAATGTCGAAGAACAAGATTATTGGTGGAAACTTAATCAGTTTTTAACAAATCTTTCATATGATGGTGCAACAAATCTATTTCAATTGACTACGCTTTCTAGTACTGTTCCAAATGCAACGCATTATTTTTTATTTAGCGATTGTCTTTCGACAATGGGCAATGATAAATTAGAATTATTAAATAATTTAACAGCAAAGCCAATATGGATATTTAATGCTAATTTTGCACATGAACCAACAAATTTTTCATTGATTAATTATTTAATAAATCTCAGTGGTGGTGGCTATATTTCTCGTGAGAAAATCAATGCTAGAAATAGTGCTAAGGATATCGTTCAATGGATTGATAGACCACAAACAAGATATCTTAATATGGATGTGATCAATAATGCCAATATTCATGATATTTATCCAAGTCATTCAATTACATTAACACCAAATACAGAACGATTTATCCTCGTCGGGAAAATGTCATCATCACATTCAGCTAATATTGCTGTTAATTTTGTCATTTCGGATCAACTTCATCGGAAAGAATTCATGATAGATAAAGCAGATTCAACAACTGAAAACTATGGATTATTAAGAAGATTATACGCTAAACAAATGTTAATTGAATTAACTGCATTTCCAGAAAAAAACAAAAAGCGTATCTTAGATATTGGCTTGAAATATTCAATTGTCAATGATTTTACATCTATACTCGTCTTAGAAACATTACAACAACACATTGAACATAATATATGTCCACATCAATCACGTACAAAATTATATAACGATTATATGGCCTATCAGTATAATAAAAAACAAGAAGAAACTACAATAAATCAAGTAAAACTAGCAGCTGTTTTGAATTTATGGCAAACCCGTTGCACATGGTATGATACAATAATAAGTGACAAACAACGTAAAAATGCATTCAAAAAGAAAACTTCTAATCAATATGGTATGTTCTTCTCTGATCGAACACGGAGACGTTCACGATCAGGTTCTCCTGTTACAACGAGATCTTATTGCAGAGAACGTGAAACAGAGTTCTATCGTAGCAGACGAGAACGTTCTCAATCACGTTCTTCTGTTACCAGATCTTCTCGAGCAAGACGACTGGAAACGGATTTCACAATGGAAGATGCATCTTTCGAATCCATGGAGCATGAAAGATTTGCAGAGAATGCGCCATCCTTTTTCTCATATAGCCATCGAGTAGAACTAAATCACAGCAACGATGACGATGAATGTGAAGAAGTACATGAATTATCTAATGCTTCCCGTCGTGAGCTAATATTGATGACAAACCAACTTCCATCCATTGATAAAAATACTTTCTTTACTCCTACTAATACTGATAGTAGTAATCAAACAATTACTGTTCAAAACTGGGATCCACAAACTCCATACATGGACAAACTTAAATCAAGTACTAACTTACAAGCAGCTTACCAAATTTATTTAGATGCACGTCCATCATATTCAAAATCTCCATCATTTTATTTTGACATAGCATCCTATTTTTTCTCACAAGCTCGTTCTTCAAATTCAAAATTATCATCGATTGATACATTTAATCAACATCATTCATTGTCAAATTTCGATGTTCAACCAAGTTCAAATGAAATCAATATTAGTAGTTTTAATACAAATGAATATGAATATATTGGTTTACGTATTCTAACAAGTGTATTAGAATTAGAATTGGAATCACCACAATTGTTACGAACTGTTGCTTATAAACTTGTTGAACTTGGTCTTTTCAATTTAGCTGAGAATATTTTTCGGCACATTATTAATTTAAGATCGGATGAGCCACAATCATTTCGAGATTTAGCATTATTATTGCAAGAATCAAATGTTGAAAATAAGAATATTATAGAAATATCAGATCTATTTAAGAAAGTTATATTTGGTGAATGGGACACGCGTTATGCTGAAATTGAAGTTACAACATTACACGAATTCAATTGCTTTCTATTTAAATTCCATCAACAACAAATATATAATTCGTTTGATAATCGTCTCATTCGGCATTTACCTGTTGATTTAAGAATTGTTATGGTTTGGGACACAAATGATACAGATGTTGATTTACATGTCATTGAACCGACCGGTGAAGAATGCTATTATTCTCATAAAAATACAGCGATTGGTGGTATGATAAGTCGTGATTTTACAAGTGGCTATGGACCAGAAGAGTATCTGATTCGAAAGGCGGTCAAAGGTACATATAGAGTTCGAGCAAAATATTTTGCTAATCATCAACAAAGTCTTACTGGTGCAACGACAATAATGGTACATATTTATAAATATTATGGCCAATCATATCAGCAAAAAGAAATTGTTACACTACGATTGAGTAGTAATCAAGAAATGATCGATGTATGCGAAGTGGACTTTGATGATGATATCAAATTAAAATCAGAAAACAAGCAAATACATGATCAACATTCAAATAAAAATATTCATATAAATATTATTTGTGATGGATGTGAAATGTCACCAATAAAAGGAGATCGTTATAAATGTTTATTTTGTCCAGATATTGATTTTTGTCAATCATGTCAACCTGCTAATAGAACCAATTATGATTCGAATCATGAATACAATCATCCATTATTATGCATCAAAGATTCAGATGTATATGCAAAATCATTATACCTACATAATCGTAGTGATATCAGTCATAAGAATATTGAATGCAATTCATGTTTCATGAAACCGATTATAGGTATACGTTACAAATGCGCTTGCGGAATAAATTTATGTGAAAAATGTGAATTTATTGGTTTACATGATACAGATCATCATCGGACAAAAATAGCTAAACCACAATGATTCAATGCAAATTTTTAATTATCGAATATTCACATTTTTTTGTCTATGAATTCTTTTGCTTATTTGCTTATTAATCAGCATTAATAAAATAAATCTGTTTCACGAGTGAAACTCAACTAACAGTTATTTTCACACTAGTGATTAGACACAAATGGAACAATTATTTTAATTAATGCACTATATTCACCGTAATTTGGGCGTGAGCGTGGAGAGTGCGTGCGGCAGAGGTAGAACACAACGCACATACTGACACCCAGGATCATATCAGAATGAATGATGAGAGAAGAAATAAGAACATCACAACGAAGCGAGAAAGCCGCTCAAAAAGGTTTTCTAAACTCAACAATGATATTCTGAAAATTTGATGAAAGTAGGTGGATATACGTGGTAGTTCTTCATCTCTCTCTCTCTCTACCGAATCGAACTTGAATTCTGTCAGACGTCTCAATGAGTTTCTGAAGAAACCCTTCGTTGACAATCCAGTGTCTGAATGTTCATGCTTTCCCTTCTATTATAGGTCTTACTTCCAATATCAGATGGAAACAGAATGGGATCACCGTCGCTGAAGCCCACGGGAAAAGGTCAGGCAGTCAACCAACTCAACTGCTCTATCGGCCTTTATGTGAATGAGAATCAAACAGTCGTCATTGCTGACTGCAGGAATAATCGTATTGTGGAATGGAAGAAGGATGACACGAGTGATCGAGTGATGGCTGATGGGAATGGATAAGGAAACCGAATGAATCAGTTGAAAAGGCCAACAGATGTGATTGTCGATAAAGAAACAGACAGTCTCATTATCTGCGATCGAGGGAACGACCGAGTGTTGCAATGGTCTCGTCAGAGTGGAACAAAAACTGGAGAAACGATTATCAACTATATCTATTGCCATGGATTGACGATGGACAGTGAGAGAAATCTCTACATTACTGATGAACAAAAGCATGACGTGAGACGATATCGAATGGGTGAGACAAATGGAACAGTTGTAGCGGGTGGAAATGGACAAGGTGATCGTCTCAATCAACTCAACTTTCCCGCTCATATCCTTGTTAATGAAGATTATTCTGTCTATGTGTCGGACTCGCAGAATCATCGTGTAATGAAGTAGGTGAAGGATGCGAACGAAGGAATTATCGTAGCGGGTGGTCTAGATAAATAGAATGATCTGATACAACTGTCGGGTCCTAACGGAGTGTTCGTCGATGTGTTCGGCACAGTCTATGCAGCAGACTGTTGGAATCACCGAGTGATGCGTTGGATCAAGGGAGTGAAAGAGGGAGAAGTCATTGTGGGTGGCAATGGTGTAGGAGAATAAGCAAACCAATTGAGTTACCCTGTAGAGTTGTCATTCAATTTTCCATCAAAATGAGTTGACTTTGTTGTTAAAATTGCTTTTGCTTTATAATGAAATGAATAAACAAGACTCCTTGCTGCTGAATAACTGTTGGTTCCTCGTTTTTTTATATAAGTCAGTTGCATGCCCATTGTATCTTTTGTCTTGGAAGCATACATTTAGTATCGAAGTTGTTTTGCTGAGAACAGTCATTCGGGCCTGTATTTTCGTGAAAGAAACTACTAGGCTCCTTTTATTGCATAACAAGGGGTGGGTGTATTGAAGGCCCGCGCATGCACCCACGCCCACAGTCAGCAGAATAGATGGGTGGACGGGTCGGTTTCAGAGATGGACACCGAATCGAATTGGGATGGTTTTATGCGGATTTTTTGCTATGAAATTCTGGTCTTTCAAGTATCCGTTATGCCCTTATTCTCGGATCCATTAATATCAAACTTTTATGAGTGATTTTATGCTATAAAGTATACTTTTTAGTTTACCGTTTGTTTTAAAACACTAAATGATTTTTCTATGCGTATGAATAGGGTTTGAGTGTGGGTGTGATTAAAGATCAAAAGCAATAAATGCACCCACAGCCACACTCGCAGGAGGAATATATTTATGAAAGAATGGGCTTGATCCTAGTAAAAATTGTCTTCGATCGATCTCTCTAGTTCGCAACATTGGGAAATGATTGAAAAGACTCATAGCAAAAACAATAAAAAATGAGCAGATGAAAAAGGAATCCATACTGATGAACAATCTGGACTTACAGTATGTAGGAGACTGCAGTTGAGAATTGTTTCTCTTATTGAAGATTTACAACTAACTGTAGCAGCTTTCAATCGATCTGCATTAACAATATTTGTAGACTTTAAAACCGCATTTGATAGTGTGGTATCCTGCACTAATAAAAACACTTATAATGTTAGGTATGCCGCAAAATATGATCCGATGAACANATTATGTAGTGATATAAAGAAGAGAACGACAGATAATCAGTAGAAGATAACGAAAAGGTCATTAAGTGCATTTATTAGAAGTAAAATCCCCATGAAAATAAACATCTCGAAAAAATTTTTTAAGAAAACTGAATCGGGTCGAATGTGTTAAAATTCTATGTATATGTTATTTTTTCAGATTAATTTTTTTATTTACTATTTTGAGATTATTTATTCTTAGATAAAGTTTTTTTTATAGCATTTTATTTTATTTTCATAAAACTATTTTATATGTTTATCATTTTAGATCAGTTTTGTTTCTATAAATTAAGAAAAAAAATTTTGTACTCAATTCTTTAAAATTAATTCTTTTATGCTTGTCTTAAGATGAACTTTTGTTTTTATTTTTATGTGTTTTTTACATTCGCTTGTATTTTTTTGTTTTTGATTGAAATAAAAATTATGTTTATCGAAAAATGATTTAATTCAATGAAAAACATCGAGAAAACAGATTAAAACGGTACCAATTAGCTGCACATACAAGCATCGGTAAATCCCGATTTACCGGAAAAAATCGGTGGTATATCCCGGTTTACCAGAAAAAACTGGTGGTATATCGCGGTTAACCGGATAAAATCGCCGCTTTTCATCACATGGGTTGTGCTTTTCTTGAACCATGTACTCAAATTTTGTTGTAGCTAAAAGAAATAATAGTAGTAAAAGATACAAGTCATTCAAAAGAACTGTTTTTTTTAAAGAATCCCAAATTTGACTTAAACGGGAAATATATTGCCTGTAAAAGAGGTATTATGCGAATGAAATTGAATTGGTTCTCATATAACAATCATATCCCTTCTTTTCGTCTCAATGGAACTTCTTCAGTTAACGTTCAAATGGACACAATGAAATGAGGATATATATATATACAAAATTGATGGAAGGAAAAGAGCATCTAATGACTATGATCTAAATGGACGGTATATCAATGGTTGATTTTTGTCAATGAGTTGATCTATTCTATTTGACAATGATGGAAGTAGTGGAAAGCAAACAATGACCATATTTATATATATATACCTATCCTTTGATAAAAGTGTCGCAGTCATAATAAAATATGAGTCTATCTAATATTCATCTTCTCGATCTACCTGATGAATTATTATTTATCAGTATGAACCAAACTGTTCAGGTTCCTAAAGTGAAACTTTTAATGGGAGCACAATAATTTCGCTGCTACACAAACTTTGTCTCCCAATAAAAAACCTCTTCCGAATTCGGGTGAATCTTGATGTACTAGGTTTTGTAGAGCGTCGTTCGCTCTATCTTCTGGTATATAAAGCTTCTCAGTCGGTTTCTATTTTCGTTCGTTAGAAAGTCAAAATATTTATCTACTAGCGTTTTCTGACAGATTTCAGTTCATATTTCAGGACTTTTCGAGAGAAGTATTCGATGAATTAATCTGAAAATTTAAACTCAGATATATCTCAACTAGTAGAATAAAAATCATGAGAGATTTTACAAACTATCATGTTGTCTTTCATATCATGTTATGATAGTAAAATGTCACAAGTAATATTTGAACTGTTCAATGTTCAAATTTATCACTTTCAATGAAAACCGCTGAAATATTGTATTGCGATAACATAGGTATCTCAAGAACTACTTACTCGTTTCAAAAGCTTCCGTTCACCTTAATTTCAAGAATGTAATTTCAAGTTTTACTAACAGTGACGTATGAAAAAAAAAGTTGAATGTTACATTGCAATATTAGTTTTCCATGAATAATATTGATGTTCACATGAGGTAAATATATTTACCTTAATTGAACTATTCTTATTTGTTGATGCTAAAACAACAGGATATGAGAAAGCAACTCTTAAATCTAACGCGCTTGACAGAAAATAAGTTGATTCGAGATTAATGATTTTACTTCAATATATTAGCTTTAGGGTAATATATTATATAGAAATGATTATGAATTTCTTCTTCTCGAAACCATTATGAGCAGAATGAAAAAGTGAAAACCATGAGCAAGAAGTGAATCATAACTGGCAGGTTTGACTTGTGTTAGATTCTGAAGTATGACGACCTTGGATCGTTCGAAAATCGATTGGCTCGAAATGATGGAATGAGCGAATTCCATTGAGCGCTGAAAAAAGAATCGTAAAAGAAATGAAACTAGCATGAGTCAATTTACCATTGGTTTTTTTCCATCTTCTCACGTTTCTCTCTTGATAAAGTCGGACTATCTCGTTCGATTCGGCATATAATAGCTGGATAGGAGATTGTGGTGATTCATGTTGTTTTCTGGAAAATTCGTAAAACTCTTTGGCACTTTTAAATGCTTCTTCTTGTCCACAATGCATAAGATATCTAGTAGCAGTGGATTTTACCGTTGCTCCCAATCCGTCCATCGGTCCTTTCCCGTGTGAGCTAGCGGTGAACGTCCATATCGTGCGTGCCCCAAAATCAATTTCGTGAAATGAAACGTTAAAGACGTTGTATCAATTCTTGAAATGCGATGGTCGATCATCAGAAATTTGAACATTAAACAGTTCTAATATTACTTGTGACATTTTACTATCATAAGATGATATGAAAGGCAACATGATAGTTTGTAAAATCTCTCATGATTTTTATTCTACTAGTTGAGATCTATCTGAGTTTAAATTTTCAGATTAATTCATCGAATATTTCTCTCGAAAAGTCCTGAAATATGAAATGAAATCTGTCAGAAAACGCTAGTAGATAAATATTTTGACTTTCTAACGAGCGAAAATGGAAACCGACTGAGAAGCTTTATATAGCAGAAGATAGAGCGAATGATGCTCTACAAAACCTAGTACATCACGATTCATCCGAATTCGGAAGAGGTTTTTTTATTGGGAGACAAAGTTTGTGTAGCAGTGAAATTATTGTGCTTCCATTAAAAGTTTCACTTTGAGAATCTGAACAATTTCGTTCATACATGGCTCGATAGAGCTGAGCGCGAGCTATCAGAATATATATAGGATGTTCTGTTTTGATCCTACAATGAAAAAGAAAACGTTCTCGCAAAAACCAGATCTTTTCAGTTTGACGATGGTTGTCCCGAAAATTCGAAATCGTATTTTGCTCATTTCAACCTGAGTCTATATTCAAACCTTTAACGATTTATTACCAAAATTATCAGCTCATCGAGCTCTAGAAACTCTGAAAGTTTCAGTTGACTATAAGAAAGTCGATGTAAATGTGGTACGTTTCCCATGGATTTACCCTGAGGAATGTGAAACTAAAGGCAAAGTAAAACAGTGTTGAGCGTTTTCATGGCAATATTCGTAGCTAGACTATATTAGATTTTAAAAGCGTTTGTCGTGACATCCATACAGAACTCAAAGTAGCGAGAGTAAATATATTAAATTTAGGCAAATTAGCCTGTAGAATATGATTTAAGTTCACTTCTTCATTGTTTTCGATAAAAAAAATCATGAATCTATTGATAGCTAGGAGATAACATTTTTCACTATTATCCTTTCTTTAATTTTATCAAAGATATAGATATTGATACAGGTGGATGTGACAAGTAGAAGACTTGCCATCCAATGATATGATAAAAATCGATGTCGATATGTTTGACGATAATTGATAAGTGAAAAAAGCATAGTTTTTATATATATTTTATGATCAATTATTTTCTTTGTATTCTTCTAGATGGCTTTCGTTGTAATTTAGTCATCGAGTTGCTAATAAAATAGGAATAAATCTCAGCTGCAGAACGAAGGACGTATTTTTCTTCAAACACCTTTGCCACTATATGTTCTCATTTTATTCATGCGGCAAAGCGCAAAGAAATTATTTCGTCTCTTGTCTTAATGTATAAATAATGAATACGACAAGAAAATGAGTGTTTATTTGACTAAGTAGTTCTGTCTGTATGTATTTTTTTACCAGCATAGATTCAGTCTAGTTGTGTGCCATACATAGCGCTTGTTATTTTCGATTTGAATTTCTCCATGATAGCAATTAGACTAAAGCAATTTTGCTCGTATTATTCTATTAAGTGATAGGTCCAAATCGTGAAACTGCAATTTTTTTTTATTTATTAGTTTGAGTCAATCGAAAATATCTTTTAAACATATATACTTACATGGTGACCTTGGTATGTGCACATTGATTGCTTGAATTATTGAGGATACAGGAACGATTTTTTGACTATACATTTCCTCTTTAGCTTTATTCGTATTTTGCCAAGTTCAGATATAAAGTAAGCTCTTTGAAACAGGAGGTTAATCATATCATTTGAGATTGGACGATCTATGTTAGACAGATATTTTTTATATTCTGACAGCTGTTAGTCGTATTAAGAAAATTTTAATAAAATAAAACATTATTATGTTTTATACGTAGTTCTTTAGAAAATTTCAGGTTCTCTAACTTGTCCATGAACTAAATTTTCCAATTTTGCTTAGTGTTTTCACTCTCATTGGATCCGAATTAATGAGCATATTGCACGTGCTCTAGAAAGTCAGATCAATTTAAAGTTCGTTTTTTTTATTTGCATCTCTACATGATACAGTCGACGAAACGAGTATAATAGAAATGATGGCATATTTTTAAATTTCACGAATACTTTAATTATCTTTGTTAGTAGAGAATTGACCTTAGGCTCAAAATAATGCATGTATTCAAAGCTTTTTTCTGCAAGTAGTGAAACAGAAATTTGAATAGTAGACGTACCAACATAGTTAAATGGATGAAAAAGATGAAAGACTTTTTCGGGTCGAATTTTTCCCTTGACAACATATTCTGCTTTTTACTAAGCCTCAACTGTAATATTTGATTGCGAATCAGCATGATACTGTCTTAGACAGATACCGTCGTAAGAAGGCTAATTACTCAAATGAATATCATTTTGTAACTTACTACATGAATATTGAAGCTAGAAACATAGTCTCTAAACGAGAAAGTATTACTGATGATAAGGTAGGATGATGAGATCGACTCTAGATGAGTGATGGTAGAAAGCTCACAAAACAACGAGTATTGAGCTTCTGTATAATCAATACAGAGAGCAAATCAGTTAACAACAACCATGCTAGCTTTGTTACACTGTTTCTTGACATCGGTATATAGACTATGGGCGACCTATGAGGTCATCATGAATTCAGCTATTCAGCTTCATGATTTTTTGTGTGTATTTAAAAATGTCGTGTTTCATGATAATTAGAATCAGTTAAGGCATTAACAAATACTAATGCCTGTCTATTCACATGTTAAGATTAACTTAATGATGATTGAGTACTTTTAATTGTGGAAGGTTTTCAAAGACGTGATCTTTCTGTTATTCTCCTCCTTCTTTTTCTGCTTCTCTTTTTTTCCGTTGACTAGACATAGTATAAGCCCGTGTACATTACTCTCCCAAACGAGAAGCTAGCAAAACAATAATAAATGGATGAAACGAAGTCAAAATCACATCCAGAAGACTGCTTGGAGACAAACTATGTGGATCCAATGATTGCTCTGCTTATACCGAAGCCAAAAATGACTCTTGGAGAACATTTTGACCGAAATACTGACAAGATTCAAGACAAAGGTTGTTGTCTTCGTTTTGATAATGCATGCTGTTCAATGCTCGGTCGATGGTGGAATGTTCGTTATAAATGGCAACGTGAAGTTGTTCGCTTTGTCGAACAACCACTTTTCCACATAATTGTCATTGCACTCGTACTCATCGATTGTTTTATTATGATAACTGAGTTTATTCTTGATTTTATCAAACTTAAAAAATCATGCGACTCAAAACATATTAATCATACCACTGAACATAATGGACAAATGTATGATCAGATAGAGTTTATTGCCGAAATTCTTGACTATTGCTCTCTGGCACTGTTGGTTGTATTCGTCATTGAAGTGCTTATCAAAGTTTATGCATTCGGACGACATTGGTGGAATTTTCATGAGAAAAAAATGGAATGGTTGGACGCCACTATTGTTATTGCTTCTTTCATTATCGATCTAATTACCATGCATAGAGACAATGTCTTCGCTGGCATACCTTTACTTTTTATTTCTCTTCGTCTATGGCGTTTTGTAAGTTGTTGTCATTAGTTTAACATATGTCTTAACTTCTCGTATATTTAGATTGGAATCATCAATGGTAAGAATCATTTATTTCTTTGTAGGTTTATGCTTTTGATCTTTCTTGTCTAGATGTGGCTCAGACCATCCGATCTCAAGATGAAAATAAGAAGAAACATTTGTCTACTAATTATCATGATGTGATTGATGTTCTCTTGACCATTTCGGAAAAAAAGACAGTTATGCTCTCGGAATTTGGTCATGGAATGACACCAGACAATTCTGACAACGTTCTTAAAAATTTTGAAACAATTGATGAATCGTGTCGTACAATTCTTGGACATTGTCCCTACCCATCGTCGTTAGATTCGATTACGGAGATGAATCATCATTTACTCGGTACAATAGGAAGGCTCCGATTGATATTATTTACAATTAGTTCATCATCTAACAAGAATGTCGACAACTAATACTGGTCAATGTGTACTTTTTATTTTAGACATGTGACGATTTGACATTGCTTATTATTAGATTGAAAATTTATTATTTAGAGATTTTTTAGGAAAAAATAAGACATTTTCCTAGCAATAGAATTCTTGTTACTATTGATGTAACCTATAAACGATATGTTCCGTGTCTTTGGACGGTTGTATTCATAAAAAAGTGTTTGCACAATCGCAAACTATCTTCAATAATTGGTTTCTCTCCTTAATCGTGTGAAAAGTATGAATGGTATAAAAATGACACAAAAATTACATGAAAGGAAAATATGTCGGTATATTCAACTGCAGCCGAAAACAAAAACGAAGGATACAAGTGTGGATGTAAGAGTCAGAATGACGATGAGGAGGATTTCTTCATTCATACGCTATCATGTTCAACATTTCTCTTATATCTGTTTTCAACCAAGTTGAAAAAACGAAAATGTCGATCAATTAATAAAGCCGAAAAAAAGTGTCCAATGTATAAAAATATCGACAAGCTGTAAGATGTTGTACATTGATAATTTACTTTTGAATTATATTTTATTGTTGTCAATCGTTGTTATATGATATTCTTGATATCAGTTTATTGTGTAAAATTAATGAATAATAGAAAACCAGCATGCGAAAGACCTAAGGAAATTTGTCATGATCATATTCAAAATCAGCATGGTCGAAAACCTATAACGCACTAACTTTCGGTGGGAAAATGATTAATCATTTTGAAAACATTCCTCGTGAGATGAAGTTATAAACATGTTCTTCGAAGATAGCTCCTAAGTGTATCAAAAGCTAAGAAGGAATTTATGTTGTACATGACTCTACAATATCATAGTTTACTGTACATGCTGATAGATGCTATATTTACTTATGAATTCGAATATTTTGACATACGAAATTTCTTTTTATCCAATAAAATCTTCTCTAACTACCTTCAAGCACAAATATTTGCAATAATAGTACATTTCTTTCTAATAAGAGTATCATATACTGGTCCTATATTGTAGTGTTTTATTCTTCTAGAATTTTAACGAATGCTAAGACAATGAGCAAAGATCTTGTATAAAGTCTTCCATACTAACGATTAAACGAACAGATTATTTTAAACATCTAAGAAAAACAAGTACGCTTCAGTTTTAATCAATCACCACTAATAAAACATGTCTTATTGTTATTATTATTATTATTATTACATGAGTATTCTGTGATTTCATATCGAAATAAACTATTACGTAGAAATTTGTAATTATTATATTTTATTTACGAATAGAAAATGAAAAGCTTTAAAAAATAATCATTCATTTTGTTTCATAAGAATATATTTAGTTCTTTGTTGATGTATAGAGACACATCGTATTCAAGTTGTAGATGCCAGATGTGACTTGAGAGTTTTACGTTCACGATAGGCAATATTGCGAGGATTCTGAAGGCAATCCATCTACATGTGCATGTCACATGATAAAAAAAATAATTAGATCACAAGAAAAATGTCATTACTTGATGAATATTGATATCACTGAATGGACACTGCGTTTCACAATATTGGCATGGAACTGTTGAAATGATACACTGCCGTTCAACATGTTTCCTTGAAAAGAAAAATTAGATTCATCGTCTTTTTAATAGAATGAACAGACTGAAATAGTGGTTGAGCATTGTGTTGATGATAAGTTTTCTATAAAATAGAACGAAAGAAAAAGAAATGAGAATATTTTAACAAGTTGAAATAAGACTAGGCAACTTGCCATATGATCATTTAACTGTTCTGAATTAAATAGTTCATTATCATTACAATATTGACAAGGAATTGGATCATTACAATTCGACGAATATGATCTAGTTACTAACGATCGATCTACGAGATGTTGAAATGTGCAAAACAAATTAACATAGACGTTTATATTTCAAGTAAATACCAAGATTTTGGTTTGAACTACGTGTCCACTCTTGTTATTCACTATCTATTGTAACGTCTCGATGAATTTTGAGGACAATTTCCCTTCATCAATCGAGAGAGAATAACAAAGAAATTCAGATTTCTTATCAAACAATACATCATACTTGATGTCTTTTCAAAGCAGCTCGTTCATAGTTTTGACCACAAAATGAACATGGAACTACAAGTGGAATATCTGTTCGAAAAGAATTCAACCGAAATCATAAACATTAACAGAACCTACTAATATCTTCATCTTGATACATTTGATTTTCGTAAGCAATAACCGTCGCACGATGCTGTTTATCTTTAGTGTTCTCATTGTTTGACCTAGACGAAGACTGTAACGAATCATTTAGATCAGATCCTGATGATGACATATCGAATCCAGTTGATATTGTAGTGACTAAATCGTTGAATTCATCTATGTAAGCACAATCATTTTCATAGTGATAAGCAAAGATGGCTCGTCGAATAAATTTTTGACATTTGGGACATTGATCAGTTTTATTACCGCATACGAGCAAGTGTTCTCTAATAGCTGTTGATGATGAAAAGTACGTATTGCAAAATGCACACAATAAACTCGATCGATCAATATAATCGGTTGTCTACGGAAAGACAAAAAAATAAGATTTAAAAAACGCCAATATAGATCATAATACTGAAAATGAATTGCTTTTACAAACCTGTTTTTCATTCATACTCTCTAAATTACTGAATATTACTCCTTTTTCTAAATCTGAAATAAAAAAAGAGTGATATCAATTATCACCAAAGTGGCAATATTATAGATCATTCGAATTTCATCTAGTAAAATATATAAAATCGGATTCTTCTTGTTGAAACATTGATAACTACACCATGATAGTGTTAAGCTGTGTTGTCTGATAGCAATCACAAATTTCTATATAATGGATGAGCTAGAAAGAAGTGAGAAAATTTTGAAGTCTTCTCGAACTAAATTCATTTGCTAGAGAATTAAATACTTTACAAAATTCGACAATGAAATTTCTAAGAGCATCGATTTTTCTTTGGTCAATATTAACAACATAAACAGTGACAATTTTGTTAAGTGTGCGATGAATTTTTTAGCTATTTAGGAATTTCAAGACTTTTTTCAGAATGTGATTCGTTTCTATTCTTACATGTAAAAATAGGCTATTTTTTGGCGACTATTCGTTAGTAATCGACGCTTCATATTGTGAAAAAAACAGCTGTATAGATTCGAAACAGAGCTAATAGGATAGAGACAAATTTTATTTTTGTTCAAAAAAACCGAAATATCTTTAAGCAATGTGTCACAATTTGAAAATTTCCTAATACGTATACTTCTAGGAATCGTTTAAAGTAAACAAACGATGTTCTTAGTAATTCAACTATTCAACTTCCTAGAGCATTCAATCTCCTATTAAATGAGTTTATCTTTGAAAATATTCATAATACTATTGACATTTCATAGTCTATAGGGTAAGTAGTTGTATTGAAGAAATCGTCTCTTGTTATGTAATCGATTTACAAAAGAGGTTGCGATAAGTTATAGCAAGTAACGTCATCTATAATACTTAGATGAATTTAATTTTTTTAAATCATGACAAACATATTTAGAAGATTGAATCTACAAAAAATAAAAACAATCCCTTCAATGTTACTTACGACATAGACTATGAAACAACAATAGCATTAGAAAAAAAAACGAATTCATAATAACTTTATAATATCGATTCTCAACTGGATACTAAAAATGTAAAGTTAAGAAACGATGTCGCAGATTGTGTTCCATTCATTTCTACTCTCTGTATGTCATCAGTCTCCATCCATCAGTCAAATTGGTTTTTTCGTTCTAGGCAAATAAGGTAACGAAAAAAACGTGTAGCATACATATGTTTGCACAAATAGATTTTTATTTTCGTTTTCTTGCTTCACATGCTATACATTTTATGTCAATATTTGATTTAGTGTTCTTATTTAAAGTCTAGACCAAAGAAGAAAAAATTTTAGTTAGCTGTAAAGATGTAATTATATCTCACTATGATAGTGACAAAGACTAGTAGAGAATGTAAAATTTCGACAGATTTACCAAGTATAATTTGTCGTAATTGTGTATGATTAACATTAAAATACGATACACATTAGATGAGTATCCAAGTGTCAAAGCAGGCATGTTTGATGCTCGGATCTCTGTGTGTGAAGTAATTGCTTGTTTTACAGCAAGAACAATTCGAACGACAAGAAAAACTTAATGCATATATATTGTCTTGTTTATTCTCTCTCAAACGGTTAAATAAAGTACGAAGAAACGAGAGTGACTAGTTACATATAAACATATACATTGATCAGCATCGACTAAAAACAATTCGATGAATATTTTAAAAATTGTCTTACTTTGAAGAGTTTTTGAGATAGAATGAATGTTAATAAAATGTGCACCAGTCCACTTCAACCATCGTTCCACTCGGAGAGATTATTCAAAGTCGATCAATGCGACGTTTTTTAATCGAATTTTAATTAGATTATTCGATTTGAATCAAATCGTTAGTAAAACTCGTTTCACTAGAGTTTAAAAGTAGAAACTCAAAATTTTCAATTCTTTTTCAGATTCGACGACTCAACTTATGGTTATTACAACACTAGACCTACATTTAATACACACGTCATACTTCGAGATATATTTATCAATTGATGCTTGTACATGTAAAGAAAAACGTCAACAAAATGAGTAAAATCTAATTGTCAATTTGCAAGACCGTTACTATTTGATTTTAATCCCTTTTTAATAAAACAAAGTTGATTAACACCAAATGCTTTCTAGTTCTTTGTTTTTTACATGGTAATGTATCACGGCGAGCAAACAATAATCTATTTGGGAATAGCGGTCTTTTCGAATCTTGTCTAGAAATCAGAGATGAGATCCGTTACCATTTTTGCCCAACCGAACCGAACCGAAAAAGTCTCTACTTAATCAACTGAATTCTTCATACTTTGTTATGGAAACGAGCTTAGAGAAAGCGAAGTTTATCTTAAACTAATAAGGATTTTAGTGATTTATATA